AACATCAATACTTGGTTTTTTGTCATAGAAGGGCTTCTGATTGTCTTTAGTTGCATACAAACTCTCTCGAGCTAGTTGACAGGTCTCCTTCAGTTGGTTTCTGAGGTCTAACATATACTGGTATGTGTTCTTCGCTTCTGGCACTTCCTCTCCTGTCAACAGTTCTTTCAATATCTGTATCAGACCTCGTACTGTTCTCCCATACAGTAACTCGAAGGGTACAAATCCTGTACTCACTTGTGGTACTCAAGACTGGTACTCTCTACATATCTATTTTTGGCAGTGCTATGGCTTCTGGGTAACATGTTGCATAGTTGACTACCATCAGCGTGTACGAGTTTCCCTTGTCAGATACAGGTGCTAGTAGTCCAATGAAGTCCACAGCTACTTTGCTGAATGGCTTTTCTATGATAGGATTCTTATCCAGTGGCGCCTTTGCCACCTTCCATCTAGAGAATCTCCTTTGGCAGGCATCATATGACCTGTATAATATGTTCAGTTCTTCGATGACACCTGGCCAATGGAAGTTGTTGGTGATTCTGTCTGCCATATTTTTTGCTCCTTGATGTCCTCTCACAATTGACTCAGGAGCCAACTCCATCATGTGATTCCAATATTGTGTTGTTACTAGGATTTGTTTAAGTTTCCCAGTACAACTTCCTTGATATATCTAATACAGCACTTCCTTATGGTCCTCTGTTCTTTAGGTTTCTTTCCTTTTGGTCTTGTGCTAGACTTTCTCCCAGGCACTGTCCCAAAGTTTCTGCAGTGAAGGGTCTTTCTTCTGTGCTTTCTTCAGATCCTGTAAAGTTAACTTCAGGATGTCACCCTTTAACGATCTGTTAGTGACATGTCAGTAGAGCACGTGATCATGAACTTTCCCTGTATTAGATCTGCAAATCCTTCAAAACTATTTTCACACTTGGACATGTCACTCCATCTTGTCAAGTATTGCTGTGAACGTGCCACAAACTGAAATACAATTTCTCCAGAGTTAGATTTGACTTGTCTAAACTTCCAGTGAAAACTTCCATTGGTAAGTTCGTAGCACTTCAGCAACGTCACTTTTAACTTATTACAGTCCACAGCACCTCCTGATGTCATGCCCACAAATATGTGTTGGTCTTTTCCTGTGAGAAATGGGCTGAGACAGACTGCCCAGTCACCTTTGCCTCAGTTCTGACTTTGAGTGAATCTTTCATACTTCTCCGGGAAATCATCTATGTTATCTTTCTGTTCATCAAATTTCAGCAGCTTCAGTTGGCTGGCCCTGACTCCATTACCATTCTTGGGTCCTCTGTTTTTTGTTGGGTGAGCTTCGTGATCTCAGTTTGTGCCAATATTGCTCATATTCTTTATTTCCGGTCTCTCATCTCTCTCTCCTTTTCTTATTTCTCATTTTGGACTTGTGTTTTACACTCATGTTCTTCTTTCGGTCTTCCTATTTCTCCTCTCTTCTCAGCCTATGCTCCTTTCGCTTCTGCTGATGTTCTTCTCTATCTAAGACTTGTTGTTATCTAATAAACTCTTGTAGATCACCATCTCCAAGCCCAAGTCATTATCCATTCATCAAAGTCAATCAACATGGTTTTATAGTGTGGCTGTGACCACTAAACTATTTTTGCCACCAGTACAGGTATGTGTATATAAGCCACTTTGCTTCTGTTGTTTACATCTTCTTCTACCATCATTTACTACTGCAGATCCTGGTTGGCTCACGACTGTCAGGTTTTGTAAGGCTAAATTCTTTACAGTAGGTGTATGTGACGTGTTGGTGATAAATTTCAACTATAACCAAACAGCAACACAGTCTACTTGTTTTTAAATAATATATTACAAACAAGACAAATGTATATACAAATGTTTGTTGCACTACTAGTTACCACAGTTGTTTACAGAGTTTTAATAATTATCTCTTTTTCGTCAAAGTACACATAGGCTGGCTCAGTTACTAAAGAACACAATTGACAAGAGAGATTATTCTTTTCTACTCTGTTATTACAATACAGTCTTTGATAATGTCACTTTAAAAATCGCCACTATTTACTCTTTATAGCTAAACTCATTATCACCCATCTAGAACAAGAACTAAATACTGATTTTTTCACATGTATTTAACAGTCCACGCAATAGTAGATATTCTGATGCAATAATATTCAATTAAGCCAACCAGAAACTCTTAAAGTTCTAGCAATATGATGCAATGATCTCACTATTGTAAACAATCGCTAATTCATAACAACTGAACTACAAAACATATAATTAGTAAACAGTTATGTAAAGAAACTTACCAGAAAATATGTTTATTAAAATATCTAAATATGACATGCTATTTAAACTATTTAACTCATAACGCTTCCATTAAACTTAAACTTAAATAGTTTATATGTAACAAAGGCAAACCAAATTTCTTATACGTATTTTGTATTGATAAAATTTTACAATTTTTTTAGCTCTAATTGAAGAATATATTAGATTTGACCAAGATCATGTGCAAAATTCAGCTTGAAGTGTTATTTTTGTAGCTTCATCAGTCGAGGAATTTATCTGCTGTTTCAGGGTATAGTTGTATTGTGCTTAACCTTGAGTTTGTGGGCTATCTTGCAATTGTCACGTGGAATAGAGATACTTTCACATTTTGGTACCTTCTTTTCTGATTAGTCAGCAACAGTGAGAATGTGTTTTACAAATGTAGTTTGTTGGTATCAAATCAGATTCATTTCAGCATGTCTGATTTGAGAATGCCAGAACTGATTTTTAAAAGTACCACAATTGTTTTGGTACATCTGTGACTGCTGCTCTTACACACTTTATATTAGTCTCATTTTAGTTTCAAAATCTTCCAGTTGTTACGTACCTGCTTGTTTGTTAATTTCCCGTAGAAATTCTTTCCGAGAAACTTCAGTGATACAAGTCCTTTCTTTATTAACCCAGTTTATTCTTCCTCGAAACAAACTTTTAGTACACAGTAATTTCACAATCATTACGTTAGACTTAACAACGTTCATAACACACCCTATAAATCACAGTGATTCACAAGCTCTTCAACTTCGCTCTATGCAACTGCAAAACACACACAATTTATGGTTCACATAGCTATTGTTCGCTTGACTCAATTATTTATCTTTTCAATCGCGCTGGTTTTTCTCACTAAAAAGAGAGCGTCTCGAAAGCATTCGGGCATTCATGATTATTCGAGAAATTTCACGCATGCTACCAGCGCCAAACGCACCAGCAGCGTCACGTGACTTCCTCTGTCGTAACACAGTTTTATTTTACATTAATAATCTCTTCTCTGTCTGGAAGACATGTAATGTACAATTGTATGTGAAATGTGAAATAAACATTGTTTAGTTGTGTTAACCCAATTTCAAGCCTCTTGTTATTGGGGGGAGGGGAGCAGTAGTTTATTTGTGTTCCATTATTCGACTAGGCATACCACAATTTCACCCTTCTATAACCAACCTAGAATATATCTTTAGTGAGATATATCCAATAAATATTTAGACATTTTTGTTCAGGTGTTGTGCATATGGCTATGATATTCTCTTTAAGGGAATGTTAACAGGTAGTAAACATGTGCTACTTATTGTAAAAAATGTATACAGCATTACGTGTGTCCTGTCCGTGTCCATTCTTTATGGGTTGTACTTGGTGTACTTTGATTTTCAAACAAAAACTTAGCTAAAAATCACATTGGTGGGGCACGTGTATAGTAATAGTAGTACATTAGATTATAGCCTGTTAGGATTAAAGACATAAGAAATTGTAGTCAAGAGATTGAATATTTATTGTTTATAATCACGAATTTCAAGGGTAGATTTTTTGTTTTTGTCACCTCATAAGTCAAATAAGTTCAATGAGAAATCATAAAATTTAGGTTAGGGTTGTTACCAAAAAAATTGCAATAAAGTGGAAGAATTTCATTTTAGACGCATTGATTCAGATTATATAGTGAGGTAAAGAAGTTTCATGAAATGATTCTAGCCGTTTTTTATACCAAGGAATCTGCTAGAAAGAATTATATTTCAGACTTACTGTTAATTATTAATGAGGATGTGATTACAAGAGTTGAAGTGTGAGAACTTTTTTGGGAAAGTGATCATTGCATAAGTAAGTTTGATAGTTTGCTACATGTTGAGGTAAAAATGTAGAATTCAGGTATACTGATATCTAAAAAATGTTAAAGTTTCTAGAAGAATGCAGGTTCAACATAGTTAACTAACGAATAAATTAAACATAACTGCAAAGGAAAAAAGGACTGAAAAACATGTGAATATGTAATTAAGTCATTATTCACAATACTTGTGTTTTTGATGTGTTTACCATACTGGCCAGCTTACAGCTTTTTGTTGACTTATGCTGGCTTATCTACAGAACAGAATAGGTTATGATCTATCCTACTTTCAAAGGATCTAAGTATGATGTTCCATAACCCAAAATTATATACATTACTGACTATTCCAAATAACATATAAGGGAGAATACCCCAACCTATACGGAATTTGTACAAGTATATCTGGCTCACTCCCTTGAGATGGGCTTCCCCTCATGGAGTGTACCAAGACACAGGGACCTATGACATTTTTAGGTGAAGTGATTTTCCTAGAAGAATAAAATAGTTAGATCTGCTAATAACATTAGATTCAATCAGGAACGTTGGGTAATCATCTGTATTTGAAAACTTAACTGAGTTTTATTGTGGGTGAAAAATAATAAGACTGAACAAGGTTAATAAAATGAATGGCAATGAGTTAATAAGTTTCTGACAAATTATTTTCTGAGTTCTATACTAGATAGTACCCCACAATTAAATGTGAGCTTTGTTTGTTGTTGCCTTTTTTCATTGCTTTTAGCAATGTTTGTTTTATAGCAAGATTTATTTATCTCAATGAATATCACAACCTGAGTAATGTTGATTAGAGACTTTTATTCAGATTTTTTTTCTCGTAATATATCATAAAGAATAGAAGTATTTTTGAGTAGTATTTGTTTTTCAGCTGCATTAAAATATTCATCATCATGTCTTCTGAACAAACACAAAGAACACTGGCCATTAAATGGAACCCTAAAGATCTGGAGATACAAACTAAATCCATTGAAAAAACCCTGAAGCCCTTGGTTATCCAGGTATTTACTTTTTGCCCACTTTTTTGTTTTTGCTGAGAATGAAAAATGTGATTGACTTAACTCTCGTAAACCTTGTTTAATAGTCTAATAACACATGAAAGCATAATATCAAATAACTGTACAGGTATGAGTAAAAACATCTGGTTGTAGATGGTTACTATCAGGTACAATTAGTAATTAGAAGGTCACCATTATGAGAATAAAGAAAGAAATATTAGAAGACGAAAATTTAAATCCTGGGAAGTCTCAGACATGTTTCCAGTTATAGTAGTTATTTATTTAAAAGAGTGTTCAGTCAATGGAAAAGTTACAACATTTAATGTAGCGTAGATGAACCAAATGCCATCTTATTACATCTTAAAAATTAAATGCAATAAAATTTGCTTTTGTTCCAGATCACGACCTTGGTTAACTCAAAGATTCCTTCCAAAAAGAAGAAAGGCTGTTCAAAGCGACCCCAAGTCCTTGTAGCTGCTATTGAGAAGGCTACAGCCAACTTTATCCAAACTGGTCAAGAAATTGCTGTAAGCTATCCCCCAATGGAATCTGAGCTCATGGCTGCAGTAAATGAGGTTCAAGAAACAGGTGATTTCTTGATTTTGGGGATATTAATAAAGGTTATTCAAATACTTGATTCATGATATGAATAAATTTTCTTATTTGTTAGGTCACTATTTAAAACACCATTTAATTTAGAAAAACATTTTGAGAAGCTTTTCAAATACATTCTCTCTCATTACTTAACATTTCTGATGCTTTTTGTAATACTATTTTCAAACATTGGTTACCTCGTTTTTATTTTTTGAGGATACTCTCACCTAATCTCCTGTGATCTAATATGAGTTGTACTACTGCATGTGATGTAATCATATAGCTAAGCCTTCCACCAACAGGAGGACAACACACTTCCATGACCACTACCTCCTTCTATGTATTTGCATCGTGAATGTTCATTCTTTTCCTCGGCAGTGTATTGACCATACATGTTCAAAAAGTCTTAATCTGTGTTTATTTTCATGAGATTTGCATTGTTCACGTAACTTTCATTTTCTATAGCTTTTGTTTCAAAATCATTATTTAATCTTTATCACAAATTCTCAAAGAACTGAATTTATATTTGACCCTGGGGGTTATGCTGTTTGTTTACACGTAGGCCTTATTTTGTCTGTGGCTCTTGTAGGCTCGTTGACTGTCAGGATCATTGCAGCAATTATTCAATATTTTGTGAACCACCATATGCTTAATTAATGGGACTCCTACTCCCATCCTGTCAACCGAATGTATTTCTCAACAATCAGGAATGGCCTACTGAATTACCTTATTCACTTGATTTGTTTTAGAAAGTACTTTACTGTTCGTGAGACAACTTTAACCACACAATCTCTTTCTGGATTACCTTCTCAAGTTTGTTCCTTTCTTTATTCTTTGCTTGTGTTCATTATTATTATTATATTTCTCATCTTATAACCTACTATTCTTGGGATTAATATTGTAATTTTCCCCTGCTTATCCTGTTTTCTTTCTCTAATAACTCTTTTTCTCACACTCAAATATCTTGTCTCCCTCAAGTTCATGCCTCATTTTGTCTTGATTTGTACACTTGCTTCCTCTTCTTTTCTCGATTATCTATATTTTGGCATCTATCTAACCAGCTTAGGATTTATGTCCCCTTACCTTCTCTTTCACTTCTAGTTCCCCATTTTCGCATTTTTCATCTTTTTCTCTCTGCCCATCGGTATTCCCTTTCCTAATTCTGCTTTTTATCTGAGGCACTTATTCGTGCTTCTGGTGGATTCTCTAGGCATTTGGTACTTTCCCCATTCTACTTCTACTTTATTCCTCTATACTTTGTTCTTTCTACTGTCGGGACTCATCGGATTGTGTATTTTCGTTTGCTTGAATCATTCCTTCCCCTAGTGTATCTCTTTTTGTGTGCTCCTCATTTTTGGCCAAGATGTTTTTGTGGTGTTCCTTTCCCTATGATGAATGGAACTGGTGTCATAAGACTTCTGACCTCGATATCTTGCCAATTTTTTTTTCTCTTTATTGACTTTGCCCTGTACCTCTTCCAGAAAATTTCTCCTTCTCACCTTCCCTTTCCAAATTTCAGATCTCCTTCTCTTTCTTGTCTTCTTTCTACCAATATTTTAGTTTTTCACTCTACTTATCAATGTTGGTTTTACTTTCTGATGACATTCATTTTCCTTTTTCCACATTGATCTCTTTCCTCTTCTCTTCACATCTCCTTTTCTCCTCCCTCCAACCACATATGTGTTTTATCTTCACCTAGTCTGTGGTTGGTCATGGTTGATGTATCAGATACATTCCTACACTTCTTTTTGGACCTTTACTCCCTTTGTTATATGTACTTCTTTCCTCTTTTTTCGTGTTTCTCCATTCCTTGCTCTTCCTTTCAACTCAATGTCAGCTCCTCTTATGTTACTTGGCATTGTATGGGCCTTTGCTGGTCATATTTATGGCTGAGGCTGGCATTCCATTTCCCAGACTATTTACTTCCATTTGTCCATTCTCAGATGTTCTCTCATACCTCACTTCATTCCTTATCCAGGTATCTATGTCATTTCTCACAGCCATTCAATGTTAATTACTTTGGCCATTTCTATTTCTCTGGTCTGTACTGAATTCGGCCTGTCCTTTTTGCCTGTGAGCTCTGGCATACATGGCCACCTGGTTTTCTACTTCTTATTGTCTTCCTACACTAGAGATTATTTTGATTTTCGGGACTCTGGCTTCCCTAAAACTCCTCATTCTTTTGGAGAAAGCACTAATGTGTCTCCAACTATGGACCTTCAAGACCCAAATTTTGCATTCTTGGGGTCCGTTTTTCATTTGTGTGTATCTACTCAGAGTACTGTCTTGGTGATTGGAATGTGCCCAGACTACTTCATACATTTACTTACTACTTCTCATGCTGGTCCTGCATTCCCTTTACATCCACAGACTCTCTCTTCAAGCACGTTCATGTTCTACACAGTCTCTTACATGGTTGTTTCTTCCACCAACTGTCCAAGAGGCTCCTGTTGTGAGTCACATTGCCTTATGGCATAAGTCATACCACCTTAGACTCATACACAGAAGGTTAGTCTTTTTGTATATTATTTGCCATGAGTTTATACTTGATGGTGGACCACCTCTTTTGATCAATCTGTATTCTATCAATGGAGTGGTATCTACACTCCATGTCTTTGTGAGGATTGCTCTTGGCTGGTCACACCCTTCATCATAACTCCAGGGTTCCTCACTTATGGCACACTATTCCTCAACCTTTGACTCTGTCTGTATTTTCTCAGCCTAGCCTGGTCTCCCCTTTTTCTACATGCCAATTTTATTCCCTCTGGCTGTCATCTTCACGCACTACTTTATTTCTCAAGTCCTATTATTGTTGCCTTTTTGCCCAGCTCAACCTTCACCCACTGGCATTTGAAATTCCTTTTCTTTCCTTTATTTCCCACCTCTCTTTCTCTGCTCCACACTTACAAATCCCTTCGGCAAGAGTTATCTTCACTCCTCATTGCACACAGAATTGCCCAATCAGTCACCCATTGGCTGGATTTTCTGCCTTTGTGTTACTCTTCTTGTCACATCCTTGCCATCCTTCCACCACATTTTTTCTATTATGGACTGTGGCAGGACTTTTCTTTTGTCATCAGTCTTTCTGTCACTCCTTTCCTCTGTGACAACATTTCTGCCTTTTTCCTTGACAGTTCAGCATTGGCTTGCCATCTATACCTCCAGTAATTGTCAGGAGGCCTTGTCCACGCACTTTCTCTGGTACTATTAGGTGTTTATTCCCCTATCGTCTCCACTCTGTTTTGCTCCTTCTTCCTTCTTCATTTTCTTCCCCATGCTTCCATGACTGACAGAGATTGTAATGGGGTTTACATATTCTGATGCATGACACGTTTGAGTCATTGGCTTACTGCCTTTTGTACCGTCTCTTTCTCCTGGTTTGTTTCTCCTACCTTTTCACGTATTATTACCACTGTCTATAATATGGTAGCTTCTCACACCCTCTTCTAACCCACTTTTATATTCCTCTCTCTTCTCCAATCTTTCCATCTCCAGTCATTAACTGCTCAGGAGGTTGCCTAAACTTCTTTCATATTTCCCTTCCTTTTGTCTCTCACCTATTGGGCCATTTTGATCTGCATTGACACCCAGGGTCTGTTGGGCTGTTTGGTGTGCCTATTCATGGGCATCTTTTTTCTAAGGCCTCCCTTCCTTTTCCAGTTATTGACGGATCAGTTACCTCTGTGCATACTCAGATTTCTTTGCATTCAATTTGCCACTTTCTCCATATCTTACATATTTTCTTCTCCAGTTCTAAGACAAGCTCTTCCAGGCAGGTATCTGGATGTTCTTCACAGGTTTTCTCATCTACACCTTCTGCAAGTCAACATTTCTCTGTCATTTCACTATCTTTCATAAGAATAAATATTTTTCTCTTTTAGAGCCCCTTTTATGTTCACAGTATCCTGCCAAGTGACCAGTAATGTCTCCTAAGGTATATATTTTCCCCAAAATCTGCATAAAGCCAAGATAATGAAAAGCATTCATACCATCCTCCCTGGTCCCATATATGCCCATTGTGAGATGAAGTTCCACAAGGCCACTTGAGATATCATTGTGGTATATCCATATATCCGACTTTTATCCAGTTGAGACCATGAATATTCATGGACTATCACAGAAAAAGCCAGCACCAAGGACGTGTTCTGTCTGGCTCATGCTTGCTGATTTTTCAAAAGAGGGTTATGTGGTCAACCATTCACTCATTGCACTGTCTTTAATAAAAGAAATATCCAGATTAAAGGACTGATAGAGATCTGGACATATTTTCTGAGTCTCTCCAATGTGAATTCCTCTCCCTTTTTCTCATCAAGTGTAACACAGGAGACCCTTTCCACTTACTAGTTCCTAGCTACTTTGTTGGTGATCATGGAGAATCCTCACTGAATAGGAACTAACCACTGGGACTAGAACAAGGGGTGCCAATACAGTGGGAAGTGGGACAGTGGTGACACTGTCAGCATATCACATCACCCCTCATATAGTTATACCATATGCTACTTGTGCCCTCCTCCTGTAGTCTGTTTAGTTAAGATGAAGCAAGCACACACTAACAAACTGAGCCTTCCTCCTGCAGCTGATGTCTGTTCAGTTCACTTTCTATGGCATGACTACCAAATACTGATGGTAAAGTTGAGGTGAGCACAAAGGTATGACCTGAATGTGCCCCAACCATGCTACATATATTGGCTCTCCAATATCTTATGTGCAACTACTCGGGTGGCCATGTTTTTATTCCAAAATCCCTGCAACACATGGGCTCATTTTCCTCTTCTTTCTTTTCTTCCCAAGCAATGAGTATACCCTGGAAGAGATGAGATGCAGTTCCCATAGATGTGCCATATGGAGTCTCTGCCATCAGGTGTCACACTGCATTGGCTTGCTTGGGGTGCTTTAGGAATGAAGCTCATTTAGGTAACTTTTCAGACTAATCCCTCCACTATTTCAGTATGGGATTCTAGCTTAATTGTATGAGAATGTGTGGTATCATTTCA